ATTTCGTGTTCTATTTGCTTTTTGCATAGTACGGACTCGGCGAGCAATTGTTTTCACTCGGAGATATTTCGAGGTGACCACGGGCCGGTAAGAAAAACCGCATTTCAGAAATGCTTGTTGATCATGATTTCTATGTAGCAAATCAAGACTACATGAAAGTAGCAGTATTAACGATTAATATAGACACGATATCCAGAGCTCTAATTAGACCTAGTTTGTAGTGAGCCCCATTCGACTTCCTCGTATTCATGACGTGACACGACAAGAAGATGACAGTATATTGTTTCGGGGTTGAAGATGGAGACAATGTTTCTCCTAAAGTTCACACGGCGTTTCAACCCAGAAGACCGACATCGACAAATTCACCGCATTTTAGAGCGATATCATCTAGTCTGCATATTAAATGACACGAAGAAGAGACATATTAATTATTCTGGTTTGTTGGGTTTTTGAACCTTGTCCACGTGGGCCTATTACAAGGCCAGCTCCCGATACCCGTCCGTTTTGTCCCACTACTACGTATTTTTACGTAACTTTGCTCACAGTTTCTTCGCCCAAGGGCTTCGAGCATCCGTGTGTCTTCATATACAGTTAATGTATTGTAATGATCCGCGTATAGTCAAGTAGCCTATTTTTTGATATGCTGGTAGTTTCTCATCTGATCAAAAATTCCCCACCAATTACGAAACACGAAGATTCTTTACCATTTTCTCAAGAGCCCTCTATTGGATCCTGCTCATGAGCCAGGAGAATCCAGTCCACATCCTCGTTGTCTTATTTATTTAATGTCTACTTTAATATTATTCTCCCACATTCGTCAAGGTCTCCCAAGTAGTCTCTTTTTTCCAGGTGTTCCGATTAAAAGTAGTTTAATTCATCATCACCCCGCCACGGTGGTGTAGCGGTTAGGACGCTGGCCTTGTAATCCTGGGGTCTCGGGTTCGATTCCCGGCGGTGCCCGAATTTATAACTTGTGTTGGGCAAGGCCGTGGTCTAGGCAACACGGAGTTTTCCTCCATGGCATCCCAACAATTACTCCATTCACAAACAGAAGAAGGCAATGGCAAACCACTCCTGGATCATCTGCCAAGAACGTATATGAACAGGTCCCAGGCCGAGAAAAGGAGGGAAGGATCCTGTTCATATGGACCTGTCCTCAGACAGAACACTAAATAAAATAAAAAATAAATTCGCAGAAAACTACAAACTATAAAATATGCGTGGGGTTCTTTCCTCCGGGAATAAAGCGGCCGGAGCGTAAAGCTAACACTCACCTTTATCTGGTACAGAAGTTTCAAAGCCACCTCCAATCTCCCGCACTTCTGAATGGCGAGGGACTTATTTACATCTCTAAATACAAGTCGGTCCCGTGTCCCTATCGCATGGCGCGCCCTTTGAGTGCGACTGGAGGAGAAGAACTCTGGATATATAAAGAGTAACTTTGAATACGCACTCGCGAACAACCGACAGTGGGTGGTCCTTCGGCTTGGTGGTTGCCGTAAAAAAGACATATTACGGAATATTACACAGGACCTCGGACTTGAACGAGTTATTTGAGACGACCGAAGCTGTAGAAAGGACATGGAATTTGGAACTTGGAATGGCAGGGGTCTTTACGGGTCACTTTCTTCGAAGACACGAGCAAGAAAATTAATAGAATGTCACAAAGATTTAGTGGGAGTACAGGAGGTCAGATGGGACATGAGCAGCGCTGAGCTAGCAGAAGTGTGAGTGCTGATTATCACTTAAGGAGAGTCTTTTGCTTGTGAGGGAGAGGGGGGGAAAAGATGTCGTATCTAACAGTGGAGGTCATTGATGTTAATGTTCTGAACGTACGTCCGTGCCTTAAGTGATATAAAAGACAGCTTTTATGGGGCAACAGGTGTGTGTGTTCGATCAACCCTGTGCGTGATTCACGTATCGCCAATTTCACATACAATACTTGGTCAAGAGTACAAATGTTTTGACTTCCATTATGCAAATTTCTGCAGCTTCGTTCCTCTCTTCTGGCATCCTTAATATCAACGTTTCCCCCTTTAGGGCGAGTTATAAAGGTTAGCACTCATACAAAACAGCAAGAATAATTAAATATAAAATAAATTATTGTATTAAACATTAAAGACCAAAGAGTATGAACTGAATGTTAGCTTCCCCGGGTGTAATCTGCTCATAATTTCTATGTGATAAACTGCCAGATAAACTACACATCATTTGTGTATACGAATAGATCTGCTAATTTGGGTTAAAAAAAACGTCTGTTTTGCGTTTAACAACACGTGATTTTGTTTTTGGCGCCGTTTAAAATCGTCAGTAGATGCCAAGGTCTCGGATAAACACACTGTTTCCATCGCCACGTTTCTTTCAACATTTGTTCATTTTAATTCCGTGAATTATTTTATACAGGCCGCTTGGCGAACTGACAAAAATGTTCTCTTTAATAGCCCGTATCATCATTATCAGTCCACTTTGGCTTGGCCTTCCGCATATGTCGGCCATTTTCCTATCGGATACAAATTCAATGCATTATATGGGCGTCTTATCAAGAAATATGATGATCATATTCATCCGGGGAAAAAAATTGACCCAGTTCGCCCTTTTCGCTGCCTCACCCGATTTGTACAACTGTACCCTGAACTTTCCGCGTGTTTTTTCCTTTGGTTTCTTTATCTTGTTTATCTGTCATGATTTCTTGAAGTAAATTCTAGTCAGAACTTCCGTGGAGTAATTATTAGCGTCATATTTTATTTTAATTGGGAAAATGTCCAACTTTAACTCATATTTAAAAAGTTTTGCGACAGTTTTTTTAAAGAAATGCTGCTCGCATGTACGTTTTATTTATTTGGTCTTAAAGTCATCTTTCTATTCCGCTTTGTTCCCTACATATTAGGTGGAAACTAACAGCTTTTGTTTTGGCTTTACTGCTATTATTGTATCACGTTGTTCTGCACGCCTTGTTTCATCACAAACTTGCTGATTATTTACTTACTAGAGCAGGGCGCTCCTTTCG